AGAAACAAAATAGGCAGTTGATAATTCCAGAGAAGACTGAAGAATTGATCTTCATCTTCTCTCAAACAGTCCTCCCCAAGAGGTCCTAAATTTCATTCTCAGCTAGAGCATAGCCTGTGGTTTAATTTGGAATAGTGAATTAAGCCTTTGTAGAAGAAGGTACATGCCCTGAAGAAATGCTATGTGACATAGGATATCACATATGTAAAGGGAACATAGAGACTGGCATTTCACAATAAGTAACACTTTGTAAAATATTTTAACCTTAATCTAATTAATAACTGATACCATTTGATTTATTATAATTTCATTCAAGATGATTGCTTTCCTTTATTTTTTTTATTTGTTCTTCTTAGATATACAGAATAGTCATGTGAAGATGATTGGTTTTCCACTGAAGTTCATCAGACCCAGCCTTCTGAAGCAATTTGCCTCCAAGAGTACCATCATCACCCAACATAATGAACTCTATATTAGGATTGTGCAAGAAGGGCTGGGGTTGTGGCCCAGTGGTAGAGTGCACGCCTAGCACATGTGAGGCCCTGGGTTGGATCCTCAGCACCATGTAAAAATAAATTAATAAAAAATAGGTATTGTGTTCAACAAAACAAAAAAAATTAAAAAGAAAAGATTCTGCAAGAGATCCATATATAAGCATCTGAATGCTTAGCAGCCACTCAATCCTTTGCCACTTCTCTCAGCCCTAAAACTGATTCTCCTGAAATAGAAGCCAAAATCATGGACCATTTACTCCTGTGTGAAGCAGGTTTTGAATTCTGCAAAGATGACACTGAGATCCCAGTTGCTTTTGATACTGAGCTCAGAAGATACTAGGCCATGGATACTCCCCTACATTTCTACTGGGAACTGCTCTCTGTGCCATGGGGGCTGCTATATTGGGCTTGTCCTTGACACAGTCAGTTGCCTACAGCCGAGATACTAAGAAACATACCTAGTTCCTCCTGCCTGCCTGCCTGAAACCCTATGCTCATGGCACAGAAGAACTCAAATTCAGCTTCAGGAGAGTGCCATGCTGCAAAGCAACCATAAAATCATCTGTCCTGGCAGCTTCTTTTGGTCACATCCATGTAGTCCTGGAGAGAGGCTCCCCAGAAACATGCTGATCTTTAACCCTGGGCCATGATCAATAAGTCCTACAAGTACTGAGTATTCAATTTGAGGGATTCTATTTATTCTCCTTTTCAGACAAATGTAAGATTTCTCTCTCACACATGGCTCTTTGTTTACTTACTAATTGGCAAGAGATATTGTTTTTAATAGGCCCTCATAAATATTTGATTCACTTGTTCAAAAGTAGACAGAATAAAGGGAGAACAGAGTTGGAGGAGTGGGGGACACAAGTCTTATTCTGAGCTGTGCTATGAACTTGCTATTAGAGTCTTAGAGAAGGGCTCCTCTTGCTTTGGTGGGAAGAGTTTTGGAAGGTATCCAGGGGGAACAATGCAAAAGAGCCCAGCTGTTGGCTACAAACAAATCTATCCAAGTATAGAAAAGAATGTGTGGCAGGAGTTCCTTAGTTGGGAAGTGTGTCTCCTTGGATAGTAGTTTTGTTCTGCATCTACTTAAGGAAGAGCCTGGAA